GATTTGAATTCCGGCTTCAGCATGCATGTAAAAAGCCAGACACAATGGTCTGAACCTATACTACCAGTGCCAGCGAAAAGAAGACAGGAGGATGGTCCCAAGGGCTGACTAGCCACATCGTTGAGCTCCGGGTTCAGGGACGACTCTATCTTCAAAAGAAAAGTGAAGGGTGACTGAGGAAGATGCATGATGTCCTCTGACCTCCATGTACGTGTGCATCCATACATGTCGTGTACACGCATGTGGACATGTACACACACACACACACATACAGATGGCACCTTGGGATTCCATCCCTTTGGTTGTCTTACATTAAGCCACCATCAAATGTCAAACATAGAGCAGAGAGGAGACAGGGCTGTCTCTTCTCACCTTGCTTACTGAGGCCTGTGACAAAAGGCAAGGCTTCCCACAGATTGTGCTGCTGTGTGATGTAACGTGGAATTGGGAGAGCTTAACTTGGAATCCTGCATCACCGTGGACAAAGCCCTGGATGGTGTAACTCTCCAAACTCCTTACGCATGCATGTGTGACTACAGATGCCTGTCTTTGACAGAACATTTGGCTCCCTGAATTCAGCTGCACTCTCTGACCAGCGGGCTCCAGGGACCCTCCAATCTCCACCTTCTGCCATGCCCAGCTTTTGATATATGTGCTGGGGATCTGAACTCAGGCTTGAAGGTTTGCACTTCATAGTCAGAACCATCTCAGTCAGCTCTGTTCCTGCTTTGTCTGTGTTTGTTTTTCGAGACAGGGTTGCTCTGTGTAGCTTAGCTTTGGCTGTCCTGGAACTTGATCTGTAGACCAGGCTGTACTCAAGCTCACCGGCCTGCCTCTGCCTCTGGGGTACTGGAGTTAAAGGGTCCATCACTGCCGTCTTGTCCCCATTTGCACACCGTAGGCTGTGATTCTTGCTATCAGGTGAGGCAAGGCTAGAACCAAGTCTCTCAAGGGACTTTTACGAAGACACTGCCACAGTGTCCGTTGTCCGTAAAAACCCTGAGGTGTATTTTGGCTCCAATCCTCATGTTATTCATGCAGTAGGACACATCTGAGTTCCGTGTAAGCACACCGTTTTACACTATGACGGAGCTGTTCAGCGCATTCTCATGTCTGGTTCTGACCACAGCAAATTTCCTACCATTTTTCCCCCCTGAAAATAAAAGGAATTAAAGTCAATGACAGCAGTGAGTAGAAAATTCTCTGTGTAGTTTTCTGTTGTGCCTACAATCTGCGTTATTTATGCTTAAAATTATATACTTCAAAAATATTTCTACACTATCCGAACACTTTATAAAGACCCACTATTGCTTTTCTAAAATTGTTCTGATTTTGTTTATTGAAATGGTGAAATTATAATCAAGGAACATTGAAGGGAAAATAACTCACTCTTCAAGGCTGTCAGCTGAGCAAACTCTTCCCAGTTCTCCTTCTGCCCTGTGCGTGTATTCAGGCTAACGGGAGGGCTTTCATCTGTCGTCTTCGCTCCGCCTTAGCAAAGGTGATGCTGGGAGAGCAGCTCAGCTTGGACAGACACCCTCCCTACATCACTGTGTGCCGTGGAACCCAGAGCCACACAGTCCAGAGAGATCTCAGAGACCAGAGGGACTGTCATGTTGGTGGAAGCTTCTCGTCTCATCCTCAAACTGTATGCCACACCCGAAGCCATGGGCATCTGTTTGTGGGGAGCAACAAACAGAAAATGATAGGAAGAAAAGGCTGAATGTGTGAACATTCAGAGTATTTGGCCCAAAGAAGCCTAGAAGCTCCTCATTCAGTATCTTTCAGACTCTGAACGCCTGTGGTAAATAAAGCGTGGGAGGCAGGTGTTAGCTTTCTCCTTTATGTAAATTAAAAAAAGTCATGTTTGCAATTGAAGAGGTGTGTGGTGTGTGTGTGTGTGTATGTGTGTGTATGTGTATGTGTGTATGTGTGTGTATGTGCATGCGTGTGTGTATGTGTGTGCGGGTGTGTGTATGTGTGTGTGGTCAGGGTTGATGCTGGGTGTCTTCCTTTGTTGTTCTCTACCCTATATATTATTTATTTCCCCCACTTATCTTTTGAGACAGGGTATCTCACTGAACCAGGAGCTTGCTGATTCGGCCATGTTGATTGGTCAGTGAGCCCTAGAATTCCTTCTACCTCCACCTTCCCAGCTCTTGGGGTCTAGGTTGTTGCTTCCGTGACTAGTTCTAAACTCAGATTCATGTGCTTATGTAGGACATGTTTGCCTACTGAGCCATCTTCAGCCTCTGGATTTAGGTTATTTTGAAATCAGCTTCCCCCATGAGGAAACTGTTATCCAGGAGAAGGGTTGGGTTGTAGGAAACAGAGGAAGCCCTGAGTAAATATTTATTTTGATATGGGCACCGCCTGTCAAGGACTCCAAGACCAACTGGTGCGTGGTAAACTGGCCAAGTTATTACACATATGGGCCAGGCTCAAGAGAAATGGCAAGCTTTCCTTGGGAGTCAGTATACGAGTGAGTGTTTATGAACAATTGATCGACATCTGCAAAGACTAGCTAGCAGTGGCAACTTCCTCCTCAGGAATGTTTACAGCCCGAGACTGCCCAAGTGCACAGACCTCCTTCTGAGGCTAGCTCACCCCTCCCTCTGTGCTGAACCTAACAAACATACCAAGGTTCCAGGTTGCAGTACCAGAGGCAGCTGTAGCAGTTAGAGAACTGTGCCTGACCCCAGCTCCATTGTACACGTGTCTGTGTGTCTGTCCTTTCTTCATTCCCTTGCTACCCCTAGCGGGTATTCCGAGTACCAATCTGTGCTGGATGCAGCCTGGGATAGTGCAGGCTGTTCCGCCTTGGGTCTTAAAGGTTGCAGGCTTTGTGTCTCCTGTTTGTTGTTGGATCGTTCCCAAACCTTGCAGTGTATCTCCATGGTCTCTGCCCATGGATTCTGAGCTCTGGAGTTCAGACAGTGTGGCAGGAATGCCTTTTAGATTGCTCTTAATTGGGATGACCCAACAAGCGAGCTTAACACCCTCAAGCTACGCTGCAGGGCTGGGATCGTGAACTGATTTCTTCACCCATGAGTCACATGCCCGGGTCCTGTCGGGCATCTCTGCAGTGCTCACACATCCTTACACATGTCTTCCTCCACAGGGAGCTTCAGGGTGCCTAGACACCTGACTTTGTGCTTGGTATGCACTTTTCTCTCAGTATATACATATGTGTATGCATGTACACCCGTGTATTTGTGTGTGTGTCTGTGTAATAAAGGACAGAGGTAAACCTTAGATGTCATTAATTTTTCACCTTTTTATTTTTTTTTTTTTGAGACAGGGTGTGTCACTGGCCTGGAACTCATCAAGTCAGCTAGGTTGTTTGGCCACCAAACCCCAGGCATCCTTGTTGGATGCCCCCAACATTGGGCTTGTAAGCACGCCCCTCCACCTCTGGCTTTCACATGGCTGGGGGTATTGAGATTGGATCCTTTCAGTTGGAAAGAAAACATTTTATCAACTTATGTGTCTTCCCAGCCCTCTCCTTGTTTTTACATTTTTTTTTAAAACAGCACAAGATTACTTTTGGCTTGTCTTATTCCCAACATCTTCGTGGAACTATCATGGGCTTACAAAGCTGCGTGTATCTAATATGGCAAACCAGTGAGAGAGAACGGCTGCAAGCGTCAGCAAGGCCATCATCATTGAGGTGACACACATCCAGCGTCTCCCAGAGTTAGCTTTGTTCCTGTGCCCCCCGCCTTGGTGGTGACATGACTCATCCTGAGAGCTGCCCTGTCGGAAGAGTTTGGAGGCACAGCACCCCCTTTCTCCCTGTGAACATCCTGCACCAGAGTTCTAGAATTCAGTCTTCACATCCCCGTCTGGTCATAGGGTTCTCATTTCTCTACAGACATACGAACGGCCAAGAGGTAGGGGAAAGATGTCCTAGGCACCGTTCATTACTAAGGAAAATGCAAACCAAGACCACTCTGAGCGCCGGGGTAGTTGTCAGTTGGTGCTTGCCTTGCAAGCATGGATTCAGTCCTCAAAACCCACTTAAAAAGTTAGGCATGGTCCACACATACACTTGCAATCCCAGAATGAAGATGGTAGAGATGGGCAGATCTCTGTTGTTCACTGGTCAGCTAACTTATCCTATTCAGTGAGGTCCAGGCCAGTCAGAGATCCTGTAACAAAAACAAAACAAAGCTATGGATGGTGTCTGAGAAAAGACACCCAGGGTTGACCTCTGACCTCTGTACGTGTGTACACCTCCTCCCCATAGATAGCAGAACAACAACCACAAAACGGATGCGAACACCCAAGCCTGCCATGAGATATCTCCTCACAGAGATTAGGATGAATGTTATTTAAAAAAAAAAAAAACCAGGGCAAGTTCTGGTGAATGTATATAAGCAAGCTTTGGAATCACGTGAGGCCTAACCATGGTGGAAACTCAACACATCCAGCAAGTCACAGTGTAGAGTTCACATCTACATCAGACTCTATGCTGGGAAGGTCAGAAGAATTCAACATGTCTCTTCTCACTCCAGGAACCTTAGGGTGGGGTGGGGAAGGTAGCCCACAGCCGAGGTGGTACTGTGGGGAGAGCCCCTGAAGACCTTCCTTTGTCAGGCTGACATTCCACCAAGACATTTCCAGGTCTCCTAAGTCCACTGAGCCACCCAGTACAAGTGGTTTTTCAATTGGTTTTCATTTCTGCCTTTGTAGAATGGCTTGTGCGTTCTGGGCCGTGGGTACTGGGATTCCTAAAGTCAGCGAATGCCTTTTAAAATGTAAACAGCTGGACGAAGTGCCAGCTGCATGTAAGGCATTCCACTGTAGCCGTACTCTGGTGCTGGCTGGGTAAGCATAGCTGTGTTCAACAGGAGTGCTTGCTCAGCCTTTCCACGTGGGCAGAGAAAATGTACAGCTTAGGCCTTCCTGAGAACACCCAGAGAGTGAAGGGCCGCACGTTAGCTCAGCAGACACTGGGCTGGCCTGCTTGCTTGTGCAGTTTCGGGGGACCATGCCAGGTGAGCTGTGGGGACTTGAGCATTTATTTGATCTTATTCGGATTCTGCACTTTGAGCGTATGTGTGCAGGGAGGGCCACAGAACTGAACAACCTCAAACCAACCTCTTCTGCTATTGCCACCTAAAATAACTTCAGAGCTGAGCCAGGCCCCCTTGCCAGGCTGACCACATCTGGCTCAGAGGTAGTCTTGTGTGTTCTCTGCTGCACCCCAGCCTGCCTCCCTTGGTACAGCAAGGGGCTGTGGGAACTTAGCCATTTTCCAGTCCAGCAGCAGCGTTTTCTTTCATTGGCTTTCCTTGGTCGTGGTCAGAGGAGGTAACGTTCTACTGCTAGCCCTGGAGTCTTTCCAGGGGGCCACTTGTCCAAACACACTTTTCCTTTAGCCTCAGCGAAATCATCAGGTGGCGTTCTGACAGTCTCGTGGTGCTGTTTCTAGAAGTTCAGTCCATTCCAAATACTTTCTGGTTCAGGGCACTGACTCATGATAATTCTGACTTTGTCTTATGGGTAAGTACTATGTGTCACCTACTGCACTGATCTTGTAATATGTTATGGTGTGCGTGTGTGCATGTGTGTATCTGTGTACAGTCTTCGGTGTTGTTCCTTAGGTACTTCCACTGTTTTTGTGAGACAGGAACTTTCACTGGCCTGGGACTTTCTGATTAGACTGGGTTGACTGTTCAGCAAACCTGGGGGATTCTCCAGTGTTTACCTCCCCAGATCTGGGATTACAAGTAAACACTACCAACACTACCATTTCTCTCTCTCTCTCTCTCTCTCTCTCTCTCTCTCTCTCTCTCTCTCTCTCTCTCTTTTAAATTTGGGTTCTGGGTTCTGGGGATCAAACTCAGATCAACTGAGCTATCTGCCTAGGTCTTCTTACAATATTATATCTGATAATATTTCTACTGGGTGGGTTAACAATTGTTTTCCTTGGAGGTAACATTCCCCTGCTGGCCCTGGAGTCTTTCAAGTAACTAAGTTGATAACACTTAGTTACCAACACTATGTCCCTAACAATAAAAATTAATATTTACCAGGCACTTAATGTGTTAGCTAGTTTTATGTCAACTTGACACAATCTAGAGTCATCAGAAGTGGGGAGGGGGGCGTTTCAGCTGATAAAAAAGCCTCCATGAGCTCCAGCTGTAGGCAAGCCTGTTAGGTGTTTTCTTAATTTGTGTTTGTTGGAGAAGGGCCCAACCCATTGTGGGTGGTGCCACCCCTGGGGTGGGGGTTCCGGATTCTGTAAGAAAGCAGGCTGAGCAAACCCTGATGAGCAAGCCAGTAAGCAGCCCTCCTTCATGGACTCTGCACCAACTCCTGTCTGTCCGAGCTCCTGTCCCGATTTCCTTCAATGACAAACAGTGATGTGGATGTAAGCCAGATAAACCCTTTCCTCCAAGGTTACTTTGGGTCATGGTGCTTCATCATGGCAGGGATAATCCTAAGACTCTTACCAGTTTCTGGGTCCTGGTTATGTGTTCTACATACTATGTGCAACCTTCCTAGTACCCTGGGATGGTGACTGTTAGTGTTGTCCTCTAGCACAGCCTGGGAGGCCTGAAATGTGTTCAGTGCAGGGTCCAAAATCCACATGTGGCCCAGGATAACTAGGAATGTATAAATGCAGACCGACATGAAATTGAGAACTTACTCCAAACATGATACATTTTTTAAATAATCCAATTGTGCATTTCTTGAGTGTGATCTTTGTAGATGCCACTGCCACATCTCAATGCCAAAAGGGTCCAGCCCTGTGAGAGCTGAATCTTTCCTGTCATCGGCTGATGTCCACACACCTTCATCATCCTGTGCTAGTTTCTGTGCCTACAACTGAGTTCAGAAGGATTGCAATGCTGAGCTTGGAAGCACTGAAGAGAGACTGGCCAGGGGTTGGAAGGAGTTACTTTGGAGAGACAGAAGAAAGTCCTCTGGTGAGCCTTAACCTGGGAGACCCAGTCCTTCTGAGACTGCTGTGTGGGGCAGTCAGTCCTGTAGAAGCCATACGGTTCTGGGCGCCTGTGTCAGACTTCTTAGACAAGTTCATCCTCAATCGCCTTAGTGCGGTTCCTGAAGCCCCCAAGGAGACCCTGAAGATATGTTAGTTCAGTTGGTAGAGTGCTTGCCCCAAATGGACAAAGCTCTGGATTCAGTCAATCCCCACGGCCATATAAACCTGGTGTGGTGGTTCAAACTTGTCATCAAAGCCCTCAGAAGGCAAAGGCAGGAAGATTAGAAGTTCAAGGACACCTTTAGCTACACAGTGAGTTTGAAGGCAGCCTATTAAGATTACGTCTCAAAAACAAAACAAACAAACAAAGCAAACCACCAGAACCAATAGCAAAACCTCCAAAGAACTTCCAATGGAAGAAAATACGGTGTGTGTGGGTGTGTGTGGGGGGAGAATAAAAGCTCTAGAATCCCAAACTGCAAGGGCCATTTGTAGAATGACTGCCGAGGCTCAGAAACCCACATCAGCATCACCTGTGCATTGCTGCTTACCCAGAGGACAGGAAGCAGCTGAGCCCCTTGGTGTTGTCATCCCTGGCTTGTCCCTGATTGACGGGAAGTGTTTTCCTCCAAGTGTACACTTAGTGCGACTGAGAATCAATGGGAGAGAGGGGCTCAGAAGTGCCCAGGCACTCATAAATATTTCATGCAGTTGAATCAAATGGAAAAGGCAAGGCTGTTGCTTTTTCAAATGGAAGTGGCAGAGACTTCATCCCATCTGAGATTAATAGGCACGCTGCCCAGCGATCAGAGCCTGGAGACAAAGGAAGGGAGCAGCCAAGACTGTGTAGCCCAGAAACGGAAGCTTCCAGGCTGGAAGGGATGCTCAGTGTGAACGCCACAGGCCAAGGCACTGGCCAGGCTGCAAGTGGGTCTCCCTTTATGCCTTTCCAGAAGGTAGCTAGCCTGAGGCATTATTCTCAAAGCCCCAGAAGAGTTGAGGTAGCACCTATGCTGAGAGGAGGAGTCAGGTGGGGTGGCCTTGTTCTTCCTCCGTCAGGGACCATCACTCTCTGGATCATTCCACATGGCTGAGTAGGTAGGCTGTTGGTAAGGCCTGACAGGGACAGATGTGCACCTTCTTGCTTTGGGAATTTCTTTCCATGTTTCTCAGCCTCTGAAGGCAAACACGAGGTGATTTTCCAAGCCATTTCCCTTGCTTGACCTACTTCCAAGAATGATGTCCCTCTCTCTCTCCTGCCTGCCGATTCCAGGGATGTGAGACTATGGCCGTATTTCTCTTTGAGATTGGAGCGTTATGAGAGAGTCAACTCAAAATTTATTGTCAGGGCGAGAGGTGGACTGGCCAGGCACTTTACCAAATGAGCCAACTCCCCAGCCCCTTGCTCCTCAAGCCTCCTCCCTGCCCCTCAGGCAAGTGAAACATCTGGCTTTCTACCTCTCTTCATTCTGACCTTTGAGAAGGTCCTTTGCTGCCTTGGAACTCACTTCTTATTGGGTTGAAGAAGTAAGTTGGACTACAGTTTAAGAAGAGGCAATCAACGGCACGTACTGGCTTTGAGGGAGCCTAGGCAGTTTGGATGCTCACCTTACTAGACCTGGATGGAGGTGGGTGGTCCTTGGACTTCCCACAGGGCAGGGAACCCTGATTGCTCTTTTGGCTGATGAGGGTGGGGGTTTTGTTTGGGGGAGGGGGAGGGAAATGGGAGGCGATGGCGGGGAGGAGGCAGAAATCTTTAATAAATAAATAAATAAATAAATAAATAAATAAATAAATAAATAAAAAGAAGAGGCAATCAGAGATGATCTAGTTGAAATGATGACCCAGGCCTGGGACCCTCTCTAGATACTCTGTCAGTTCACAAAAAGGTGGCTCCTGGGGACTCCAGGGACCCACGCCATCAACCTCTGGTGATGTAAGTCATTCATGTATAATAGGATAGACTCCCCATCCATTCTCAAGGGATGTGTTATAGACCCCAGTGGGCACATAAGACATATCAGACCCCATGTTATCTGATTTTCTCTTTATAGGCATGCCACTATGGTAAAGGTTTGATTCTGTATCATATTATATTTTCATGAACTTTCTTTTTCACCCAAGGAAGCACTCTATGGCTTGTTTTTTAGCAGGTGGAATTAGCAGCATCCTTGCCCTTGTACAAAGGGTCACTGTTAAATAAAATCAGTGTTATAGGACACAAGAATTGCAGTAGCCTGACAGTTGACATCATGACCAAGAAGAGCTACACAGTGTGGAGATGCTGGGGAGAGAGATGATTCTCATCACAGGCAGGAAAGAATAGGTCCGTGTTGGTTTTCGTGATGCCCCTGAGAATGGTACACATCTTAAAACAAATGATTGTGGGCTAGCAATCAATGGCTCATGGGTAAAGGTGCTTGGTGCTAAACCCGATGGCCCGAGTTTGATCCCTGGAGCCCTTATGGAAGAAGGAGAGAATCAGCTCTATACCGATGCCATGGCAAGCTCTCCCTACCCCTACATAAATGAATAAATGTAAAACAAACATACTTTCTAGAACGTTCCTGTTGATATTTTTTGTCATTCTTTTTTTTAATATAATTTTTTTTTATTAAGAATAGGAAAAAAAAGTTTCCACCTCCTTCCAGCCTCCCATTTCCCTCCTCCTCCCCCTCCTGTTGATATTTTTATACTGCTTTTGTTTGGGTCACTGTGTATGCGGATGGCGCCATGTTTCTGTTTCTCCTGCCCATATCTCCAGTCACATAGCGTGCCATCCCAGAGGACATCTCAGCCAATGCAGAGTGTGACCTCTGCCAGCTCCTGAGCCACACAGAAGCTGTGAAGAGGCTGTGGTGGTCCACAAAGGCCTGTCTGCTGAGGTCTGAGAGACCTTTGGATTTCTAGGGCATTTTGTTCTTTTCTGAAGCTAGAACAAGAATTTTCCTTTCTAAGCAAAAAGTTATTCGAGGGTATTGGGATTGAGTTTGCCATCCTTGGAAGGGACAAAATACAGTGTTTTCAATTATTTGTCAGCATTTACCCCCTCAGTCTCTACATAGATCTTGAAATGGTCCTCTAATTTACTGTATGCATGTGTGTGTGTGTTTGTGCATGTGTGTATGTATGTATGTGTGTGTACATGTATGTATGTACGTGCGTGTATGTATGTGTGTATGTGTATATGCGTGTGTATGTGTGTGTCTCTGTGTGTATGTATGTATGTCTGTGCATGTGTGCCTGTGTGTATGTATGTGTGTCTTGTGTGTATATCTGTGTGTATGTATGTGTGTATGTATGTATGTGTGTGCATGTACGTATGTATGCATGTGTATGTATGTATGTATGTATGTATGTATGTATGGGTGTTACCCATGCATGGAGATCAGAGGCTGACATCAGACGCCTGTCTTAGTCATTCTCTACCTTATTTTAGGACATGGTCTCTCACTGGCCTGGAATCACTAATTTGGCTAAAGCGATTGGCCAGTGAGCTCTGGGGATCTACCTGTCTCCAGCTCCTTGGGGCTGGGATTATAGGCAGAGTGCTTGTTCTTTTATGTGGATGTCAGACAGTTTACTGACCAACCCATCTCCCAGTCCTTCTCTAATACATTTTAAAAATATCTTCTAGGTCCACGACCCCTGCTTCCGGGAACCATTACAGCCTCATCGCTTGACGGCACCAGTAATCCATCAGCTCTGAGCGCGCACGAGCTTCAGAGAGGCTGACTCATCCCAGCCCCATTGGACAGAACTGGAGGCTGCAGCCTAGTTTCAGGAGGAGCATCCTGAGGTTGGGTGAGTTTTTCAAAGTAGGCCTGGGATAAAGGCAAGGCTTTTGTGATTAATCTCCACATGTGAAGCAAGCGATGGACCCGGCCTCTCCACAAGTCACCGCCGCAGCCAGAGATTCTTAGTTCTAAAGAGAATCTGAGATGCAAATCCCATCAGGAGCATTTGCTGTCAGAAGTGTGACCTCATCCTCTTGGCCTCCTTCTAATGTCTTTAAGTCTGGAATCCCTGGCAATGAGGCAGATTTCAGACATTGACATACAAAGCATCCAGAAGGCTTCAGACCACGGCATGTATGTCTAGTGGAAGGATTAGAATGCTGTTCCACTAGGGAGCAATAGGAGACTCACAGTCCCAAGCCTCTTCCGTAGGCTGGAACACTAAGAACTCCCAGGACTAGGGCCTCAGATAAAGCAGGTGCATTGAACCCTATGAAACTGGCAATAGCCAACTATGTCACTTACGAAAATGGCTGCTTTGTGTGGTTTGTCTAATGCGCCTTTTCATTATCTTTTCTCTCCCTCCCCCTCCTCTTTCTTTGTGAGAGTCTTGAACTCCTAATTCTTCTACCTCTACCTTCTGAGTGATAGAATAACAGCTGTGCACACCACACCTGGATTATATGGTCCTGGGAATCAAAGACGGGGGTCTGTGCTTGTGAGGCAAGCACTTTCCATATTGAACTCCTGCCCCAGCCCTTGATCACAGGGACAAGGGACCCCACATGGGGTTTAGAATCAAGTCCTACTCATCATCCCAGGTGTAGCTGATTAGTAACATTTATTTGTGTCACCATCAGCAACATCTCAGATAGAAGCAATGTAAGAGAGGAAGGGTTTGTCTGGTGGAAGTCACAGAGAGATTTCAGTCTATCGTGGTGGGGTAGCCTGGCTCTGTCCTGATGGCACAGTATGTTCCCATAGAACAGATCAGGAAGTAGAGAGAGAAGCCTGTAACCAGAGACTAGGGCAAACCTTCAAAGGCCACCGCTTGGTGATATAATCCTGTCCTCCCTCTACAGCTTTCAAAATAGCATCCCACGGTGGTGAGCGAGTGTTCTAAAGGTGAGCCTGGGAGGACGTGTCGGGAGGACGTGCCTGGGACGACGTGTCTCATTCAACCATAAGCCAGTTTTAAGCCCTCGTGGTTTCTCCAGTCACAGTCAGTCTGTCGTCTCCTGGAGTTTAGATGACAGTTTCTTAATGATATTTAATTATTACTGTTTCTGTTCACAAAGGGCCTGAAAGAGCTGAGCTCTCTGGAGATGGCTTCTGCCTTCACTTGTGCACGCCCCAGCTGCCCTCCCAGGGTTAGGACGCTTGTTGCTTGTTGTTTGGCTGTCTAATCTTGACGTGTTTACCGACAAAACAATAGCAGCAGCCACCACACCCGTTTCAGAATTTATGATGGAACTTTTTATTTTTTGCTTAACGAGACTTTACAAAATAGCTCAGAAGTTGATCTTGTATATAGTATTAAAAATACTGACTGTCTTTTCAATCTTCTGAACTACTTAGCATTTACATGATAACCTGTTTTTTGTGTTGGTGTGAATTCAAGTGTCTCGTGTGCGTGTGTGCTTGTATGTGTGTGTGTATGTGTGCATGTGTGCACACACATGTGTAGAGGTCAGAGGTCAACTTCCATTGCAGTTCTTCCGTCACTGTCCACCTTAGTTTTTGAGACAGGCAGGTCTCAGACTGTCCTGGACTCACCAGCTAGGCTGGCTGGTCAGCAAGCCCCAGAGATCTGCCTGTCTCTGTCCCCCAGTGCTGGAACAAGTAGCATGTACAGCATGCCTGGCCTCTGTGACATGAGTCTCGGATATTAAATCCAGGCTATTGCCAGTAAGGTGAGCACGGTACCGTGGACTGAGGTCCTCAGCCCCGAAGGGATCTTCAGAGCAGATGACTGGTTCTCCTCTTCTCACACTGAAGTTATCTAAAGTTTATCCTGCTGTGACCCCAGGGATGTGTGACAATGAGGAGCACCACATGGGAGCACAGAGAGCATCTGTGACCTAAACACATGCCGCTCAGCAGTACCAGTGCCTGCTGTACTTGGTAGGAAACGGAGGACCCAGGAAGCTTCAAGCGCACACGTGGAGGAGCACAGCTCACCGTTCTCTTTACTGTGTGCCTAGCTACAGCTGGCATCTCTGAGGCTCCTCCAGCTGAGTGGAGCACCAAGCCTACCCATCCCTCAACTGCCCGTTTCGTTTCCACCTCCACGAGGATTTCAAGCCTTCCGTGTCTTCTTTGCTTGTTCCACCAAAGCTGCAGGGACTGCACTCCTGATTGCATGGTTGCCCTGCCGAAAACCCTCGCATAAGGCATGCAAACCGTTGCCGCTCATGTTCTAGAACCCTGGCTCACCGTTTCTGCGCCTCTTGCAGCCTGTCCTTTTGGCTCCTCTTGCTCTGTTTGTCCTTTTGTTCCTTCTGAGTGGTAATGTTGGATTAGCTCTGTCCTTCACCCAGCTGGGCTGGGTCACACGGCCCTGCCTGGTTCTCACGGCACACAATTTAGCAGAGGATAGGGCGAGATTTCCCTAGCAGTTGTTTCTCTCAGTTTCAGACCAAGTGTGTGTTCTTGGAGCAGCCTCCTTTACCTGCTTATATGATGTTAAATGTGGTTTGCAGGTCGGTGGTCTGTGTCTAGTCAATCATTGGCTTATTGGCTTCTTTGGATTAGAAATCGATAAAGATTAACCTCAGTCTCTCTCTCTCTCTCTCTCTCTCTCTCTCTCTCTCTCTCTCTCTCTCTCTCTCTGTGTGTGTGAACTTGCACTTGTGTGCATGTGGGGGTCACAGGTCAACTTCAGGTGTTCCTCAGATGATATCTATCTTGTTATTTTTTAAATTTTTTTCTCATCAGGTTGTGGTGGTGCACGCCTTTAATCCCAGCACTCAGAAGGCAGAAGCAGGCAGATATCTGAGTTTGAGGGTTTGAGGCCAGCCTGGTCTACAAGCGAGTTCCAGGACAGCCAGATTTAAACAGTGAAAAACCCTGTCTTGAAAAACCAAAAAAATTCACGGGAGAGGGGAGGAAGGGAGGGGAACAGAGAAAAATGCATAGTTCAATAAAAACAATAACAAAAGAACCCCCCCCCATTTTTTCTTTTTCTGTGTGTGTGTGTGTATGTGTGTGCTCTATGTATGTGTGTTTTGATTTGCATGTAAGGGCATGCATTTTGTGGGCATGGGTATGCATATGTGTGCATATGGAGGTCCAAACGCGATGTCCAGGAAATGATTTCAATACTCATTATTCACTGGGTCTTTAAATCAAACCTAGATCATGCCCGCGGGGTAGGCCACCACACTCACCTGGCGTTTACCCGGGTTCTAGGGACCTGAACTCTGGTCTTCATGCAAGCCCTTTAACCACGATACCATCTTCCCAAACCTCACTTAAGTTTTTGAGACAGGGTCTCTTATTGTCCTGTTCACCAGGCCAGGCTGGGCAGTGCCTGCTAGGGAATCCTGCTGTCTCTGCGTCCATGACCCTGGAACGACAGCTGTGTGGCATCACGAGTGCCTTTTTCATGTGTGTTTTGAGGAATCAAACTCAGGTCCTTGTGCTTGTGTGTTAAGTGCTTTCCTGATGAAATTATCTCTCCAGCCCCAAGTCCAAGTTCTTGATATTCCAATTGTGCATTTTGACTATTTCCATCCATGGGTATGAATTTATGGTGACGAAGGCTGGCGCCGATCACTCGGGTATCACTGTCTGCTCCCCTCTGCGAAAACACACAAAGAAGAGAGGATGCCGTGCTGGCCATAGAGACCAGTCACGGCAAGTCTCAAAGGAAAACTCCAGGGACCAGGTAGGAAAGGGATAAACTCTGTGAGGTGGACTTGCCCAGTGTGCCCCGGATGTGAACAAAGGCAAAGGCTCACATCTTTGGGTGAGCGTCGCTCTCTAGGCTCAGTTTGGTTGGCTTCTTCCTGAGGGAGGCAGAGGGGCTTTGAAGCTTAGAGTCGCATTTGAGTGAGGTTTGACCCTCGGGTAAGATATCAAAAACCTAAGCCTGGGGCCTGGAGGCTGGTAGGAGTTATGAGTCAATCTACTCTTGGGAACTTAGTCATTTCAAGACCCCGAGGTGCCAGCTCGGCACCCAGTAAGAGTTTCCAGTCATTGAGCACTAACAAACAGGAGGTGACAGTCATCTCTAGACGCTGCCTGGAGCCCCCTGCTTGGAGAGGCTGGAGATGCCTGTCCCCTTTACTTCTAACACTCCTGCCAGCTCACAGCACCCCAGGCTCAACGGTACCCATCCATGGGGATTTTTCTAAGGTGTATACACTTCAGAGCTTACAAACTGACACCAGACTAAAGCAGCCTGCTTGGAAGTCGCAGAACCTGGCTCTACTTGGTGGGGCTAACATCAGAGGAACCAGGTGAGTTATCAGTTAGGGAACTCCCAGGAGTGCTTAAGATTAGAGGAAGCTTATAGCAGAGCTGACTAGGCTCAGCTCAGCCCCGCAAGCTGTTTCATCACAATCAGGCAACCTCCTCTGCCTCCCGCTAACAGGGATGCAAGCATTATCATGGGAACTTTGAAATAAGAATGTTTCCCGAGCTAGGGAGACAGTTCTGTCTGTGATATGTTTGCTGCACAAACATGAAGACTCGAATTTATATCCCAGGTATAAATGCCCAGTGTGGTATTGTTCGCTTAAAATCCCAGTGCTGGGGAGTTGAAGACAGGGGAACCCCCAAGGCCAGCGAGCGGAGACTAATCACTGCAATGCGAGACACTGTCTCAAAAGTCAAGGAAGATAGTCCCCAAGGAAGGAAACACCCATGAGCTCACATGTATGTACATGAACATATCCACATGTATGTATGAACACCCATGAATTCACTTGTATGAACGTTTATGTATGCACACATACATACTCAGAGAGGAGAGGGAGGAACAGAAGGAGGGGGAAGGAGGGAGGAAAGAGGTTCAGTTATCTTCCAGTGCTCCAGAACTGTTGAATCGGGGAGGCGGTGGCAGCCAGGCAGCCTCTGAGCCTGGCTCAGAACGTGGTACAGCCATTGTGGAAAAGCTCATTCTAGAGATTCACTGTTGCTGGCACGGGAGGTCTGGCTGCTCATTGATTCAGTCTAAACTCAAGTCTAGCCTTCCTTGGCAGGCACACTCTTCCCATTAAGACAGACTGGAACGAACCAATGCTATTTCAGTGGAAGTACCCGGCTGCGGAGTGCATTGTGTGCATGGACGGAGTTGGCAGAAAGTCTGGGAAGACACGCTGTACAAGAGGGGGTCAAAGTCTGGGAAGACACGCTGTACAAGAGGGGTCATGTGTAGCAAGATGGAGGTTTCGGAGAAAGACCACCAACATGAAGCAAAGCACTGACGCAACATGACAACTGACAGGTGTGTGGGCGGCGCCTGCTGTCTCCATGGAGACTGGAGGACACAGCAGGCTGACAACACAATGTACAGCTTACTCAGAGAGCCAACCCAGGTGGATGCAGCCTCCCCAGCCTTCTACTAGCAATAAGTCAGAATTCAGGAATATGTATATATGAGTGTTTCTTAATCTTCTTTTTAGTTGGACAACACAAGATTTTAGCAGAGCGGCGAGAAAGGCAGGGAAACGCTGGCTCAGCTTTCAACTATTGAGAGAGACACACCTATGTGTTCATTTAGTGTGTGGTGGTGGTGGTGGTGTGTGTGGGTGTGCGTGTGTGTTTAGGTGTACATGTGTAATATGTGTGGTGGCTGAAGTTGATGCCCAGGGTTTCTCTGTATTGTTCAATACCTGCACCTGTTTTTTTGAGGCAGGAGAGCCTTTCTACAGAAGCTGGAAACCAAACCTGGAACCTCCCCTTATTAGGTGAGGGTACCACACCAGCATGCCCCAGGATCTCCCTGTCTCTGCCTCCCTAGTGCTGGGGTTACAGGAGCACGTTGCTGGATCTGGCCTTCTGACAAGATGGGGTGCAAAAGAGCAAACCCTTCTGTTTCTGGAGGTTGGACAATAGTGTTCCCAGATGAAGACTGAAATTTTGATATTAATATATACACACACACACACACACACACACACACACACACAGACACACACAGAGACAGAGACAGACAGATACAGAGATAGCTAGCTAGCTAGCTAGCTAGATGACTCCAGGGGAAACTCTCATGTCCTGAGGTCCATGGTTTCCGTAGACTGTTAAATGAAGGAAGGGACATACATATCTCTCTTTAGGACATTTTGCTCCTGCCAGGATGATCAGAGTCTTTTAGCAAGGAGCTTCAAGGACAAGGCAGGTGCAAAGAGCTTTCCTACATGTGAAACCCCAAAGCTGTTGGCGACTGGAAAAAGATGAGGAGGGTGAAAAGGAGAAAGTGGCTTTTGTCACCTTTGAGTGTCCTCAGCAGGGCTCGGTCACCGTCCCCCAAAAAACCTCTAAGTCTCTAAGGTCAGCCTGAGAGACAGAGTCCACAGGGAGGAAGGTGCGGTAGAAGAGAAAGGGAGGGCGGTGGAAAGGGAGGAAGAACAATGGTGGACGGTGACAAGGAGGAGGAAGAGGAGGATGAAGAGGAGGAATAGCAGAGGAGGCAGCTTCTGGCAAAACCCAGGCCAGGCTTCTCCTGGAAAACAAATCTGGAAACACTATCTGACAAGATCTCCGTAGAAGACATTAAGCCCAGAGGTTCCCACTGAGGAGAGGAGGCCAGGGCCAGGATGCTAGAGGCTCAGCCCCATGCAGGGGAAATCAAAATAGCACTCGCCAAAAGGCTCCTAAAGAGATAAGGGATTAGACTTGCCGGAAAGCCTGGGAAGATAGGGGGTCTCTAACATTCCACATGGGAAGGGGCCTTGTGAAGTCTCTTAAGAGCAAGCTGGGAAAACCTGAGTTCTACACCAGGGCCTCTGAGGAGGCATTAAAAAAATCAAGAAAACAAAAAATCCCCCAAGGCCAGTTGAGGAAAACGGTTTGTGATCCAGTTCCAGGCTGGCCACTCAGAACAAAGCCTGCAGAATCCTCCAGACCTCCTTAGTGGCTGCAGAGCAGGAAATTGTGGGGGATGGGACCCCTGGAAGAGGAAACTGCTGGGCAGACACATTCTTAATGAAATTCAAAAACAAAGCAAACACCGATGCAGGTGATTGCATTGCGGGTTTCTTCTTGGTGGTAGAGAGCTTGCATCTTAGATTGGATTCCAATTGTTCCACTGGAAGCTGCCATTTAGTTTTTTTTTTTTTTTTTTTAATATAATAGCGTTTGTGTGTTCTGTATGTGCAATTAGGCAGAGGTTTCTAATCAGTCCAGAGTGTTAGCAATGAGGGTACCAGCTAACATGGAAGCTGCTGTGGCCGAGGGCAGTTTCTTGGTGCAAGTCATGCTTCCAAAGCTAAGGTGGACTGCACCCTTAAAGTTTGGGTCAAAATTAACCCTTTATTCCCTAAGTTTGTTTGTCAAGTGTTTTCGCCATAACAATAAGAATAACCAGGCCTTGCAGCCTGATGTGTGCTTGTCAGCAGTTTGGGGTGACGTAGGCTCTTTGGCACTGGTAAGATTGGGGCACCATTGTCTATACCATCCTCAGGAAGGAAGCACTCGGCTTTCCTCCACTCTGCCTGTCACTGAAGTGCGAGCTAATGAGGGATGGATCTGGTCCCTCCAAACTGTGTATAAAATGGTCATGCTCTAGCTTCATTGCTCTAGGCTGCCGGTGCAACAGGAATCGGTAGGGTCAGAGCCAGGGCCCTGGCAGCCCTTCCAAGCCAGACTCACCCACTCGTCTTCAGTAAATCAATTAAGGACAAA